TCATAAATTAGGAGCCAAAATTCAAAGGAATAAACAAATAAAAGATAGGACACTGTAAACCTTTCAGCGCGGGTGATCGTGCTGAGAGAGAGTTGGAAATCCGGAGAAATAAGACTGTCACACTTGAAGTTTTTAAGAAACTAATTTATTGCGGGCCGTATCTAATTCGTTACTCTTAACGAAAATCATGTTGGTTCTTGAAACTGTCGAAGTCTCTTCGACATCCTGCTTATTTACAGAAGGTCGTAAATTCTCTTAAGGGTTGCCTTGGCTCGCTAGCGCGAGACCTTTTTATCTTTCGTTCTCTCTGGATCCCACGCTTTCTCTTAGCACGTGTGCATGGAATCGTTCTCGAGTCTTGGCGGGGCACACCATCTTCCACTCGCCCAAGGGTGGACCGAAGCCAGGGAGAGGGACCGCTTCCGGACAGGGATGGGCTCCTCCACCATTGGGCCAGGGATGATCCTGAGGGAGGATTCAGGATCCAGCGAGGAGGGGATGGCAGCCTGCATACATTTTTGTCAAAGTTATAGTCACGAAATAAAGTCGTATAAATTTTTATTTCCTACGCAAAAGTATTTTGATTTATTAAAAGCCGCGCCGCGAGCAGAGCGCTTCAGCACTCCACGGGCACCTTACCCACGTTCGGCAAATCCTAAATATCTCTAGAACACTAAATCCACACGCAACAGGGGACAGATAAGTCCCCAAAAGCGCCGGCGCTTAGGGGCGAAATTAGTGAGTTGAGTTGATTGATTGATTGATTGATTGACAGGTATAGGTTATAGTGAATAACATGTGGAAATTGAATGCAGTTACTTTCTTACAGGATATATCTGGAAGTATGTTTAAGGTAAAAGAAATACTAAACCTTACTTTCTTCAATACATTCTTTATTCCAAATTAATATTGTAGAGTATAATGTAGCAATATATAATAATATGATTTCTTTTTCTATATTTTCAGCATTTATTCTGTTAGTTTATCTGGAAATAATCAGGTAACAAAAACAAGTCCAGTGTCAAAGGATAGGGACAGAGTCATGGTTTATACAACGGTCTTTAGGTTGGGGACCGATGGGTGTATAGAGTTTTCCAGGAATGGCCTGAGCAATAAAACTCCGGGCATTTCTATATTTAGTTTTCTAAGTGGATCCAATAGGGGTTTCTCCGCTGACAACTCACTTCATCTTTAGTTTTCAAACTGTGCAGACGTCTTCTGAGTGTTCATTTGAGAAATAAATTCATTTTGTGTTTTAGAAACTGTATCATTATTTTTAGTTTAATACCCATTTCCAATATATTCAGACATTCATGAAAAAATTACAAGCATAAAATTATGGAGCAGAAAAGTTGAATAGATACATTACAGATATTTCCAGCATGGAATGAAATACTAGGACATATAACAAAAACATAAGTACTATGCAAACAGATGCAATTACTTTCTTGCAAGATATATGTGGAAATATGTTTAAGGTAAAAGAAATATTAAATCTTATTTTCTTCAATGCATTCTTTATTCCAAATTAATGTTTTTGAGTACAATGTATCAGTATTTAATAATATGATATCTTTTTCTTTATTTTCAAAATTTATTCAGACATTGATGAGGGAATTGCAACCAAAAAATTATGAAGTAGAAAAGTTGAATAGATCCATTAAATTTGTTGCAGTATGTTAATAAAAACATACTTCGGATAGTTCAAATTCTTTATGCATATTTCAAAAGTGAAAATAAAGATATAACACTAAATACAAATAATGTTTAAATCAGTTGGATATTATACCTAACCTATACTATATTTATTAATTAGTTCATTCTGATATTATAAATTAATAATAAATTACACCACATTTTTAAGCTTGAGGTGATGTGCCTAGTTTATAAGTAATGCGGTTAATGTGCATATTTGTTAGCACGAACGTTCATTTGAATCTGTGTTTTCTTATTACAGAGGTGCCCAGTTAGGCGTCCGCATTTTTGCCCACATAAGAGTCCGTCGCTATCCCCACCAGTTCTTGGAAACAGAAGTTCCACACATATCGAAGTTTTCACGTATGTGGAATCACGACCTTACAATCATGGATTCGGAATGACAAATGACGTTCGAATTGACCACCGCATTCGCATGTATAGAATATACGTATCCTACTCGCACTCATTTCCTCTCCTTCCTTCAGTTGAATTCGCAGAAGTCACCTCCCCATTTAAGCGTCCGTATTCGGTCCCGATTGTGGACGCTTAAGTGGGCACCTCTGTAGTACATACTATTAAAAAATGAAATGTGAAATAAGTGCTACCCTTAATAAAAAGAAAGTATTATTTCGATTGCTTGTGATTATCTCACAGTGATAGCAAAAGGAATAGAAAATTTATACCAGTACTATTCAATTCATGAGATTCTAGAAACACTATCAACTGCAGTTGATAGCAATTTGTATGCAGATTGGCAGCAGATTGGCAGCAGACTCTGGTAAAATCTGTCTACAAATCCATAGCCATCTGTTTCCGCATTTGGCTGCGCTTCTGCAAACAGGACCTGCCTACAGAATCATATAGCAGATTGGCGTCAGAAACCGAGCAGGTCCTGCTAACATAACTTGTTGCCAAATTGGCGACAGAAACAAAACAGAGTCTGCGCGCAGACTGTAACGTCAGATTTGCGGCAGATTGGCAGCAGATCCTGCAACTTCAGCCATTTGAATTTTAAATGGACGCGCATATACTGGCATTTAAATGAGCTCTTTAAATTCTTATTATTACTTATTTTTTAAGGGAAAAAAAGAAATCTGACAATATTTTTATTTTATTATTAATATACATATGTGCTAGTTATTATGAATGTGGTATAAGTCAAAATTTATCAGTTATATTGAACGGCATAATACATAAGAACTGACAAGTTCAATGTTTTTTACATTTCTATTTACACCACTTTCATAATAACCGACATATATATATGTATTTATTAATTTAAAATACATATTTATAATTTCGGTGTTCATTTTTATATTAACAATTTCTGTGAAGTATACTGTCAGTCAAAAATTTGAAATCAGGATTGTAAGTACTGCAAACAAAGAGAAGAAATGTGAAATTATATTACTTGTAATCGAATTCCAAAATTGTGACTGCTAGTATTTTATTTATTTCTTCTTTGTTGTGGTGATTCCTCTTCTCCACTGCATTTGGGCTGAAGCGAGCGTGCTCGTGTATGCACCGCGTATCCAGTTGCTTTTTCTTGAAACGTCTCCGTTACCGTACACGAAAAAGGAAAGTACAATTCATTAGTATTAATCCAATGAAGAAGTTACTATGAACAATGAAATTTTTTAAAACGACAAAGGTACATATGTTAGTAAATTCATTTGTAGAACTTCTCAAAGAATCTTGTCGTTTGGTCCAATTTTAAATGAGGTGTTTCCAAACTTTTTGACGAGGGTTGGTTAGGTTGAGGTTAGGTTAGGGTTAGATTAGGATAAAATATTTTGACGAGGATTAGTTCCTAGGGGTTCTTTTTTTTGCGAGGAGGGAGAAAATGCTTTATGCACACTGGGCAGGGGCTGCAAGCCCGGTAGTGTGGGACTCCGTATACCCACTAAAAACCCTGCTCCTCGTACTTACCTATACAGTAAAAGCTGGATATATGCAACAAAAGTTTGGCTGGATATACGCAACATCGCTATCCCCTCCACTTGGGGGGATCCCCCTAAGCCAAACCGAGCCGCTCGGCGAGGAAACCGTGTAATATGATCCGACCGTAATATCGGTGTGACTAATACTAACTGAACGATAAAACTTTTTTATCTTTAACTTTTTCTTAATGAAACTTTTACTAACGCATTTGTGAGATTTTTCTGATTAAAATAGTACCAAACACGATATGATTTGAATTATATTTATTTATTAAAATAATAATAAAACTGTACATATATATAAGGCAGGCCGTACACCAAAGATTCATCAAACACGCAACATGCAACATGCAACACGTCGCATGTTGTGTACGAACGTAGAAAAGGTATCGCAGCACGGTACAAACGATTTGTACGGACGCAGAATCGACACCAAGACTGGATATATGCAACGTTTAAATGCCCAGAATCGACACCTCGGCAGGATATATGCAACGTTTGAAACTCGAGCCGACACCGCAGCCGGTTTTCATTTCCAATCCTCCTTTGCTTTTCGCCAACTTTTAACATCAATTTTATTAAGTAATTATAATTGAAACTATATCGTGTTTGGTACCACTTTAATCACAAAAATCTGACCAATGCGCTAGTACAAGTTTCATTAAAAAAAAGTCAAAAATAAAAAAGTTTTTTGATTCAATTAGTATTAGTCACACCGATACGTTTCGGCTCTTTCCTTTGATCATCGGACCTCTCTCTTTCTGCCACTGTCTGTCCTTTTCTACGTTCACGCTTGGCTGCTCGTCGCGTGTAACCCGAGATTCGACACCTCGACTGGATATATGCAACGCCTGGGTCCCAATGTTTGTTGCATATATCCAGCTTTTACTGTATATACACCGGAACCGCCTGTTTCAGCATTGCTTTACCCTCATTCGTAGGGTAGGTTGTAGCTTCTGAAAATCGGTCAGAAAAAGTAGTTAATTTTCAAACCTGTCATATAGGATAATGGTAAGAATAATACTATAATAACAAAAGCATTTAGTGGGTCATACCTTAAAATTAAAGCCGCTTCATCCTAGATATATTTCTTATTTAAACGCCATATCCTTCCCGCGTCTTTAGTGTAGCCTGTAAAACCAATAGCAATATTGAAAGAGATGCAGAGAGATGAATACATGTTGCATTTATTTATGTATTTAATGATTTCAAATAAATACTGTACGTGTTTGAAAAGTTGGCAGTACGGCCGAAAATGCGTATGAGCCTAGATGGGGCACAACCAATCAAGCCTGCATTCCTTCCCACTGCCAACACTCAAAACGCTAACAGTAGGAAAATACGTATATGTACATATCGATCTTACATGTTGTCGGAATGTAGCATCACAACCACGGCGTATTCTCTTCTTTCTTGTTCGTCCTCTTCATTGTCGTCCATGTTGTCTCCAGGAAACGGCATTCGGAAACACTTTGAACAAACATCGTATGGACTAATATTAAATTCGGGGCTCAAATATCGACATTTATACAGACCTACAGCAGAGGATTTTATTCCGATATCAAAAATATCACCGACCTCTGTGAATTTCTGGACACCTAAGCGGAATGTATTTCTGTCCTCGGCAATGGAGGACAGAATACATATGGCACCGTCGCACAAGATGCAGCAATTATCGCGTATATCAAGACTGAAGAACATGCCATTAAACTGTATCCTACGATACTGGAGGATATCAGTTCCGCATCCAAGAGGCATAGTTACTGCAATATCAGAAGACGCAACGACCCTCGCCCTATTTGCTCCATGAGCCTGAATCTCCGCCATTCTATTCACGAATTGCTGAACAGGTAGGCCCGGTTTTTACAGTACTTCCTAAAAATGCGCATGTTGCTTTCATAAGGGAAAGCAGAGAAAGAATCTACAGGACCAAGACGTCTTACATCATTGGTCAAATGCAGAAGACCATGTACATTATAGGAACAGAAATTTGGGCCATACAACTCTTCACTACGCAGAACAAATTTTTGCAGACCAAGCTCTGCAAAATTCAGAAACTGACTCGACGGAGATTGTGACGCTAAAATTCTAATAGCGGTGTGAAGGAAAAGGAAATGAGTATATAAATTATCATTGAGGAGCCCATATGCCACAACCGGACCTGTATACAACAGAAATTGCCTAAACTCTGTTGCTTTATACTTGGCATAATACACCAGAGTTCTTGAGGGTCTTCCAAACTCAGAGGGTCAAAATTCTCTGAGTCTGTCCAGTCTTGCAGACATACCAGCAAGATGGCTACCTGACAATTTGGACAAACGTGAATATTTTCCACTTATCCATGCAGATAATATTTTTTTCGTGACGCCCAAGCATACCAAATGCATATATTCAAATGAAACTTGAGAAACCTTTCCAAAAGGTAGTGATGCTAAGGGACTGCAACCTTCTTTATGATGGTCCTCATCTACACATTGAGAGTATTGGTTGTCAGTTCTAAGCACATGCTTTATGCCATTGAAGACATATCTACCTTCGCTATGCGTACCAGACACTTTACATTTGGAACAGGGCCGGCTGGATGTATGGCCACGGTGGTTGAGGATAAAAGTTCTTGCTGGTGCATCAGCAATAAAGCATCTTAATTTTATTGGTACCTTAGTACCATCAAGATCTACACCACCGTTGGAAAGCATATGAGTTATGTTCATGATGAACATATTGAAAAGCCTATTAGGATCACTAGGCTTTTGCAATCCTCTATAAATGCCGACAACTATTGGCCTTGCATCAGGTATGTTCCTAGTCATACACTGAATCGGCCACAGATGGATTGTTCACGCTCTATCTAAAGCACATCCATCTGTGCTGAAATCTAATTCTAATTCCCTATCTGGTGAAAAAGAAGCATTCCTGATATACTTAACAATTTCAGCTTCGACATCAAAATGAACATACTCCCCCGGTTCTACAACATATGTAGAAACACGAGTCCGTGGAGTACCCAGGACAGTCCTAATATCCTTCGGGAGGTTCGTAAAGCTGGTATGGGTCCGAAGAAGGGTAAGTAAATTGTTCCCCTGAACATGATTGATATTGTTGTCAACACAATAGGAAGCCAAACTTTCCTGAAATGAAGTTTCAGGAACCGCTTCAGAACTACACAATACTGAAGAAGACAAAGAAGAAGAAGAGGAAGAAGAACTGTCATCCACATCTGCACCATGGATGGCGTCAATACCATCTGCGTAATCTGTGGAGGATGAAGGAACATCCGCCAGATTAACAGGGGCATTGATCTCTTGAATACAAGAAGAAGAAGGAGAAGCCAACGAAGAGACAACACTATTGGACCCTACCTCATTCCTTATGTTGCGTCTCTGTCTGGTCGATGATATTTTAAATATCGGTTTCCTCGATACTGATAACTTAAAATTAAAGGAACTCATAATTAAAAGTACTAATTAAATGAAATGTATGTTAGGAATATAAATGTAAATATATGTATATGAAAAAATAAATGTAAGTAAAATTAATTTGTGGTTAATATATGAAAAAAATGAATATAATTTAAAAGTGGAAAAAAATGGTTAGTAGATAATAGAAAAATGGTAGTTAGTAGTTATAATAGTAAATAAAATATATGAATAATTTATATTAATTAATATGCGATTAGAATAAGACTGCGATTAGGTTGCACTGCACTCCCGTTTGTTCAGCGACACGAAGCGAATGAAACAAAACGGTTGAACGCTGTCTCTGGTATGTATCAGTTATTGCGGGAAACGCGTTCATTGGATGCGCATTTTCGTCATGTTGATTTCTCCAACCAATGTGAGTACCTCCCGCTCAAATTGATGGATCGTCTTTTGTTTTATAACGGAACGACCGCACAGATGATCGTTATCTGTTTTGAGGCTCGTCAGAGACGGTAGAGACGGCGAAATTCGAAAACATTTTACTGCGATTTTTTTTCCAATTTCTTTATAGGGACTACAGGAGAGAAGTGCAATTGCCAAGAATGAATTCAAATGTAAGTATGACTTTTATTCATTGCAATTACATGTATCGCGGATATGAATGTATACATATTTTAAATTTTCTTCAAATATTCTTTTATTACAGATGGAAATGGAACGTCGTCCGAAGAGGATGGACAACAAGCCGGCCCGGTATCAAACCACGTCCTCCGACGAAGAACCGCAAAAGCGTTTAAAGGTGGCCCCCGGAAGTATCGTCGAGGACATAACAGACCTGAGGGCTACCTTGGAGAGCGTGGACGATGAAGTTCTATCTAATAATTATAGACAACACGAACACACGAACACATACACACCACTAGACACATACTCGCCATACACAAGCACATACACACCACCAAACGTAAACATATACTCGCCACACACACCATCAAACACATACAGGCCACCTCCAACAGTATATGCACCACCAACGCAAAGTTTTCATATTCCAGATGCAGTGGAGAGCAGGTCTGAACCAGGGATGCAGCAAGGTACGGAACCTACAAATTTACAAATAAGGTAAGTTGCATATTCATTCTTCTTCTATACAATATTGGGAATAAGAATATATTCCTCAATTTATTACATGTTTAAGGACATTTTCTTACAAATATTAATGTTTACAGGGATCTATATACAAAAATTGGCAACCTGGAGTTCATGGTGACGTAAGTATTGATTGCATGTTATTAAAGTATATATAATTATCATTTATCTTTATAGGAAAACCCATTCATTATTGGAGATGGTGGCGAAGCAGCAGCAGCACCTGCTGCACCAGCATCATGGAATTCCATCAAAGCCAGCGTTTCTACCAATTTCATCACTGGCTGGAATGACGGAATTCCAAAATATTGATGAAGACAGCTACAGGGAAGTTGTAAGTGAAACAGAAGTCTCATTTTATTTATCTGTATGTATCAAATGTTTGTGTCAGTTGTTACTTACTTTATTTAGGTAAACTATTTGGAGTACGTGGGCGGCTTCAACCTGAAGGAAGCAGTCACTCTCTCTTTTAAAGAAACAGTGAGTGACTGCTTGCTAACATCTTATTCCTGGTTGGGCCGCGAAGATAATAATCTCGCACTTTGCGAGACAAGAATTGTTCATGCTATACACGGTAAGAATCACTGTTTATATAATTGTGATACTATTACTTCATATGGTATTCAGTATTCATATTATATGCTTACATTTGATTTTTAGATGTCGTACTCCAGAATAGGCACTTCCCAAGGCCGTCCCGCAAGGATGTAGCGGAACACTTAAAAGCGGCGCTTCGCACTGCTAAGGAAAGAGTGCGAAGCAAAAGAAGAGGTCCCCGAAATCCTCAGCATAAAACAGTGGATAACTTTTGGACTGCTGAGGAAAAATCACGTTGAAACAGGAAGTGGTTAGTTTTGTATTGTATTACATATATAATCATAACCTTGAAACACATGTACTTACGTATGTACTTGCAAGTACCTTCATGCCTTTTTTCATTTACTGCCATAAACTCACTTGGATAAATAACTCTAATACAAACACATCTTTTTCAATCTTTCTCTTCTCTTTCGCTTTTTCATTGCGAGCAATCCATCTATGGCCGATTCAGTGTATGATTAGGAACATACCTCATTCAAGGCCAATAGTTATACGTATTTATATGGGATGGCAGAGACCGTGTCAACTGTAAACTGCTCGAAACCGTACTCCAAATCTTTTTTCTTTCTCTACGGCACACGGCAGCTCTAGCAGTGCCCTCTAGCGAGAATGTACATATGTACATAAACATTTGTACATATGCATAATATTTATAATTTGCAGCAGGCTGGGGTCAAGCCGTGAAGAGGAACTGAAGAAGAACTGAAGAGGATCTGAAGAAAAACTGAAGAGGACCTGAAGATATAATTATTTTATACTATTTTATATTATTTTATTTTATTTTATATTATTTATATTATTTTATAATTATGTTATTTTTCTGAATTTATATATTATTTATATCAACATTTATATGTTGATTTGTTATGTATATTGTTGACATTGTAAATGTACATTTTTTTGTTGTGAATACTGATAAGGTTTTGGCAGTTTTCCTTATCCTAGCAACAAATGTTGGTATTCGTGAAATTATTCTGCCAAATAAAATATCTTATTTTTTATTATATATTTTGTTTACAGTTCTTTTAGTATCCGTCCCTTTCCTATGATCATGACAATTTTTCACAAGATTATATATAAATGTACATATACTGTATACATGACAAATGTTTAATGGTATCTTTCATTTCTTTTATTGAATAAAGTAAACGCATTATCAATTAATTGCAATTTATTAATTATCAATAATTTCTTTTATAATTTATAATTTTCTTTTTATTTCGCTCGTAGTATTACAATTCATGTTATTCAAAAAAAATATACTACGCTCCTATCAAATTTGTATAGTTCTTATTCCGGAACACTCGAAGTTCGGAAAAAGATTTTAAATACCACTTATATGTATAGTCACAGTTCCGTTTAAAATTTAAATGGCTGAAGTTGCAGGCTCTGCTGCCAATCTGCCGTAAATCTGCCATCACAGTCTGCGCGCAGACTCTGTTCTGTTTCTGCCTCCAATTTGGCAACAGGTTATGGTACCAGAATCTGTTCGGTTTCTTACGCCAATCTGCTTTAGCAGGGTCTGTTACATTTATGCCGCCAATCTGCTGCAATAACTGTATTTAACAGATCCTGCATCAAATCTATAGCCATTCTGCTTACAAGACCTTGTAACAGGAATCCGACAGAATCTGCTATGCGCAGGTTTGGCTTATGTATACATATCTGGTGTAGATATAGTAACAATTATATTGTTATTAAAAGTATAATGCATTATATCTCATGTGGATATAGTAATAATTACATTATTAGTCAATGTATATTACATATCTAATGTAGATATGCCAATAATGATATTCTTATTAAATGTATATAACATTATATCTCATATAGATATAGGAACAATGACATTGTTACTCAATGTATATTACTTATCTGATGTAGATATAGTAACAGTTATATTGTTATTAAATGTATATTACATATCTAATGTAGATATGCCAATAGTGATATTCTTATTAAATGTGTGTTACATTATATCTCATGTACATATAGTAATGATATTGTTATTAAATATATATTAGTAGTTGTTCTATGCGGATTCTAAATCACTGGCGTCAGCATTTTTTGTAATTTGACACCACACCGTCAGCAGAAATATGATACCCCCCTCCCCGCCCCCTCTCCCCATCCCATGACCTTGAACTGAAATGTGACACCACCGTCAGCAGAAATATGATACGTCCTCGACAACCCCCACCCCATAACCACCCCTCCCCCCACCCGCACCCACCCCATAACCGCCCCCTCAGACCCACCCCTCCACTCCACCCCATGACCTTGAACTAAAATTATACGCCACCGTCAGTAGAAATATGATACGTCCTGACCTTGAACTGAAATTTGACACCCCACCCCATGACCTTGAACTGAAATTTGACACCACCGTCGGCAGAAATATAACACCCTCCCTCCATGACCTTGAACTGTTTGTTCTTATCGGAAGACCACTTTTTTCTACGTCTTGGAAATGATTTTTTCTACGTCTTGGAAATGAGTTTTTTTGTTGACGCAGCAAATCTGACACTGCAATTCGTGACTATAGAAGGTAGGGGGTTTGCTAAAGTTTCAAGCATACGCAAAACCAAATTGACCATCACCGCAAGTGCATCGTTCGCGAGATTGTATTGTGAAAAGTGAAATATGTATTCTCAAAGTTTCAAAGAGTTTTTTTGCCAAAGGAAGCACCCCGCAAGCTCTACTCAAGAAGAAGAGGCACGCAAAAAAATGACAAAACATCAGAATGACGTGAAGTAAGTGTTCGAAACACATTTCATTTAACGCTGTCGGTATTTGTTCTAATAACATACTTAAACGGTATTTATTTGTTCTAGAATCGCACCACAATTATCATGTCGAATTTTGGGCCGAAAATATCCATTGACGGATTCCTGTACAAAGCATTTGGAAATCGGCATAAATATACTTGGCGACAGTTTCTACCCGCAACTCGTATTATCAGACAGCCGAAACAACCGCCTGGAGCTGAGCATAGTCACATGATCGCTGATTGTAGCCGAAGCAGGCAACGTATGCAGCTTCTTTGACGATTCAAAAAATACACGCGACAATATTAATTTTAATGATATAAGTGTTGAATTTGGAGTGCTATATGGCGAGAAAGTAATTAAATTGATTAGCAATGATATATGCATGTGCATGATGAAAAAAACATTTGAGAAAATGGTAATTTTAAATGATTGTATAGTTGAAATGCATAATGCATTATATGATAAACTGTATTCGGCGGAACAAAAATTTAAAGAGTTTGTTGCATTAGT